TCAAAGCCACCTATATGACTCTAACATGCGCGACGGGAAATTCGCACGCCGAGAACGTAACTTGGTGAAGTTGGCACCAACATGTCTCGATACACATGAGCTGGTATGTACAAGAAGGCTTCAATCAAGAACCGTGGCAAACTCGTAATCGCATCAGAAACTTGATATGTCGCAATGTCAGAGTACGACACTGCACTGACAGGCACAGGAAAGACTCACTGCATCGTGGAAGAAGATGTGTAAAATTGAAGGTAGCAGAGTCATTGGACAGTCCATGGTAATTGTGTGCTTGAAAACATCGTCCCATCCCATGTATCAACCATCGCTGCCACTGGATGTGCTGCTGGCTTCGGCAAGAATCGGGATTGTCACATCTCTGTGTGCTGACATGCACACTGCTACGTACCATAAGAAAAGAGAATATGCAGAATCGGGGCGCATCCTCCATCCAAACATCACGAAACTGGCAAAGGGTCATGGTCTATCGAGTGGTGGAGCATACTTCTTGAGCACATGCAGCAGAATTGTCTGAAAACATGCAGGCCACCCAATGCCAAGAGAGTGAGAGACATACGATGCGAGTGCACGAAGCGAACCTAAGACAGACTTTTTTATGCGTCCAATGACATGTCACTCAGACATTGCTCGTCGGAATCGTCGGCATCACGATCAGAGAAAGAAACAACAAAGGAAGAGCAAGAAGACCCAGGAAAGGAGGAGCAAGACCAAGACCGCAGAGAGGAGGAGCCGGAGGGAACAGAGGACACAGGGAAAAGACCAAAAGAAACCGACGAAGACACGAGGGAGGCAACAGAGGAGGCAGGAGAAAGAGACAACAGCGGAGGACGAGCAGACGGACGAGGAGGAACAGACAGAAGAGGAAGAGAGGAAGAAGGAGAAGGAGCCGACGAAGACAAGGAACGACCAGGCGAGGAGAAGGGAAAGGCAGACAAGGACAAAAGAGGAGAAGAAAAGAGAGGACCAGAGGGAGCAGACAAGGAAAGAGAGGAACGTACAGGAACACGAAGACCAAGAAAAAGCGCAAGGGAAAGACATGAGGCATGGGGTGAAACGGGAACATGTTGCTTGACACAGAAAAGAACCATCATGATGCGAGTTCCAGTGAAAGGCATGGTGGCATGAATCACATTTCCATCAAAGCAGCAAGGTTGTCTGACATCCAAGAGTCTGCCTTTCAAGTGAGCACCATGCGATGCAACATTGCAATTGAAATCATCAACTGTATATGTAAAGCGACCTCGGTCATCCACGACAAATAATTCTCCACCTGTCCAATCTCCAATGGCCCAGCCAATACTTGGGCCATGGTTGTTTGAATCTTTGTGTGGGATAGTCCGGACATTGCGATTGATCTGTATACTGGTAACTGCCAAATCCGAGAATTGGGGAGTATAATGTAGCATTCGGACAATCAACTTAGTAAGGCCAGGGAACCGGAATGTGTTCTTTGTAAACTGCAGTCTTCCTCGAGACTGCACGCCAGAATACAAGCCAAGCAATATCTGATCTGCATGTGCTTGGTCTGCAGATCGCACCTTCTTTCGACTGTAACTCAACCACATCCGTCGAGGAATACCATCAAGAATACGGAATAGATAGGCAGCCAACTCATCCAATGACTGAAAATTGAAACCATCCGCATCTACATCAAAAGGGCTACGCTCTATGGTCGTCATGTTGACATGGGACTGAGCAAAAGTTCGGCACTCAA